TCCACTCACGCATGAAACACATTGCTCTCGACTATCATTTTGTTCGGCAACTGGTTAAAAATGGTTTACTACGAGTATCACATATTTCTGCACCAGATCAACTAGCTGATGCTCTTACTAAACCTCTTGCTCGCTCTCAATTTGACATTCTTAAAGCCAAGATTGGACTTGCACCACGATCGTCCATCTTGCGGGGGCATGATAAAGATAATACTTAAGAAAGTCAAAGGAGGAAATCAAGGCTATCAAACAAAGGATAAAATCATGGGAATTCAAATTCAAAGAATCCGTATGAAATTATTCTAATTGATTTAATCAATTTAATATTGTAACTTATTTCCTATTTTGAACATTTTATAATCTGTATATATATTCCCTGTATTGATGTAAATGAAATACAATTCGTCTTCTTCTAATCTCTTCATGATTTTTATAATTTATTTAAATTTCTATTAATGACTTTTTATAGTATTACATTAAGGGCAACAACTAGACGATTTTGTCAATCCTAATGTCCTTTTTTTTAAATATCACCATATTTCTCGATAAATTTCTTGGTTGTCTTGGCTATTAAAAAAAATCGAGAGGGGCGACGAAAACACGAAGCAGCGCGAAGAAATCCTAGATTCATTTTAATCTGATAACATATTCTATGGCGAGGTTAAAGAAGGTTAGTTAAGGAAAAAAAAATATCTAGATTTGCAGAAAGTTTGATTTTGATTTTGAGGAAAGACATTTGGGAACTTTTGATTTTATTTAACGTGTAATTTTGTTGATTATGATTATTATAATATTATTTTAATAGAGATTTTAATTAATTTGTTTTAACCATATTTTTTAATTCATTGATTTGAGAATATACATGGTTAATTAAGTAATTTATATGAAGTACTAGGTCGTACTAGGATCGTACACAAAATCAATGGATAAGATTAAAATTTAATTATTTTAAACGCACCAGATTAAATATTTTATGGTCCGAGAAGTACACCCTCTCGGACCCTAGACAACCCCATATTTCTAATATA